GACATACACTGCTGAGGGGAGCAGCAGGCAAGACAGGAGAGTTCTGCCACACCATGTGGGACCCTCGCTGGCTGGCCAGGATCGAACTGGCACTGCAGAGGCTGCAGAAAACTTCACAGCATGGCGCTCAACCACCTGTGCCACCAGTCGGAGGCCCAGTATTTGTTTTATTTCTTTGAAGTATGTCATTGAGATTTTTAATGGAATAGCATTGAATCTGCATATTTCTTTAGGGAGGATGACCATTTTAATAATGTTGATTCTTCCAATACATGAGCAGGGGATGTCTTTCCATTTCTTTGTGTCTACTTCAATTTTTTTTAACAGTGTTTTATAATTTTCTTTGTAAAGGTCTTTCACTCTTTTGTTAGGTTTATTCCCGAGTATTTGATTTTTTTTTTTTGTTTCAATTATAAAGGGTATGGTTTTCTTGATTTCTTCTTCAGACTGACTGTGTATAGGAAGGCTATTGATTTTTGCATGTTGATTTTGTATCCTGCTACTTTACTGAACTGTTTGATTATTTTGAGTAGTTTTTCTATGGAGTTTTTAGGGTTCTCTATGTATATCATCATATCATCTGCAAATAGTGATAGTTTTACTTGTTCTTTCCCTATCTGGAGTCCTTGTATGTCTTTCTCCTGTCTTATTGCCCTGGCTTGACCTCCAGTATTATATGGAAGAGCAGTGGTGAGAGAGGAAATCCTTGTCTTGTTCCTGATCTTAAAGGAAAGGCCTTCAGCTTTTCGCCATTGAGAATAATATTGGTGGTGGGTTTGTCATATATGGCTTTTATCATGTTAAGGTATGTTCCTTCTAAATCCCGAGAATTTCAAGGGCCGTCATCATAAATGGATGTTGGACTTTGTCGAATGCTTTCTCAGCATCTATTCATATGATCATATGGTTCTTATTTTCCTTTTTGTTAATATGTTGGATTACACTGATCGATTTTCGTATGTTGAACCATCCCTGTGCCCTTGGGATGAATCCCACTTGATTGTGGTGTACCATCCCTTTGATGCTTTGTTGGATTCTGTTGGCAAGGATTTTGTTGAGGATTTTTGCATCAATGTTCATTAGGGAGATTGGCCTGTAATTTTCTTTTTTTTGTGCTGTCTTTGTTGGGTTTTGGTATAGTGTAATGTTGGCTTTGTAGAACGCATTTGGTAGAATTCCTTCTTTTTCAATTTTTTTTAAAGAGTGTATGTAGGATAGGCACAAATTCACTGCTGAACATTTGGTAGAATTCATTTGTGAAGCTGTCTGGGCCCAGGTTTTGTTTTTGGGGAGTGCTTTCATTATTGCCTCAATTTTGCTGCTTGTAATTGGTCTGTTCAGTTGTTCTATTTCTTCTTTGTTCAGCTTTGGATGATTACATCATTCTGGAAATTTGCCCATCTCTTCTAGGTTGTTGAGTTTGTTTGGATGTAATTGTTCATAGTAATCTCTGATTATTCTCTTGATTTGTCCTGCATCTGTTGTGATTTCTCCTCTTTCATTTATAATCCAATTTATATGTGTTTTCTCCCGTGAAACATGTTAATTTTAATATAGAGCTATTTATTAAAGGAGACACTCCCATGAAATTCTTTCCATTTCCTGTGAGTTTACCTTTCCATTTATTACACTGAAGTAACCTTACATTATAAAGTTATATATATTTCAGGTATGCATGATTATTATTTTTTTTTAAACTTTTTTTTTATAACGGCATATTTTATTTATTTATTTATTTGTTTGTTTGTTTGTTTGTTTGTTTGTTTTGTTTATACATGCACTGGGTACAGTCAGAAGCGCGGGAGGGTGAGAGAATTCACCAGAGCCAGAGCGGGGAGCAGAGCAGGCAGAAGGACGAAGTACACTGCTGAGGGGAGCAGCGGGCGGCAGGAGAGGTCTGCACTATGTGGGACCCTCACCGGTGGCCGGGGAGCCTCTGGGGATCGAACCGGCGCCACAGAGGCTGCGGGCAGCTTCGCAACCCAGCGCTCAACCGCTGCCCCACCGGGAAGGCCCAGTGATTATTAATCATGCATGATTATTAGTCAACAATATGTGTATGCGACATTAAGTTCAGTACTAAAAGTTTACATTTATCTTTCATTATACCACTATTCTCGTTTCTGATAAACCACGTCCCTCCTCCCATCTTTGTGTTAGCCACTAATTGTTCTTATATAGTCCAAAAGCATATTTTGTTTAATGACATGATCTGTTTATTTGTTTTCTTTATTACATAAGAGTGAAATCACATAGTATTTGACTTTCTCTGTTTGGCTTGTTTCAGAAAGGATCATTCTGTTGTTATCCTTTTGTTCTTGGAAATATAAATAGTATTCCGCTATCTACATATACCACATCTTTCTGGACATTTGTCAATCATTGAACACTTGGGTTTTTTCTGCCTCTTGGCTATTGTAAATACCATTGCAGTGAACATGGATGGAAAACACCTCTTGGAATGAGTGCATTTTGTGTGTATTTTCCAGCTAAATACTCAGAAGTAAGACATTTGCATAACAGGACACTTATATTCTTCAATGTTTGAGGAATTTCCTTACAGCTTTCCATAACAGATGCACAAGCTTACATTCCATCAACACTATATAAGTGTTTCCTTTTCTGCCCTGGGACCCTGTGAGCTCAGTGACCAGTCCAGGAAAGGAAATCTCCACCTTCTACCAGAGTTAATAAATCAGAGTTTTCAGACAGAGCCCAGATGGCTTCATAATGGATCCCAGAGTAGAGAAAGGACAGTGGGACAGAGAACACAGCACTTCTTTGCAATGTATCAAGCAGACTTGCAGCATTTGCAACCCGGGTCCCTCAGTGGACAGCAGGGCTGGTGCCTGTGGTGGTCATTACCTGTTTCTACATGTGTGCAGTGGGCACAAGGCCACATAGTTGCCTCCTGCATATCAGGGTCAGCTGATTCCACAGCTTAAACCCTGTGGACTACACCCTGCTCCAGTCACCAGGAGACTCAGCCTGTGGCAGGAAGTACCAGACAGTGGTGGGGAGGGAGGTGAGGACAACTGAAGACCAAATGGACCTTGCTGTGAGAGAGAGGGGAGGAGTTGGAGGTGACAGAGTTCACTTCTCAACAAACTCAGACAACACTTCAGCCCCAGACTCCCCACTGCAACCACCAGAAGCCAAGGAAAACTAGAAGAGGAACAATCTCACCACAGCCCCCCAGCTGCAAACCTGGAAACGAGGTGACATAATTACTTAGATCAAGGAACACCTGAGCACAAGAGGGAAAAAAAGGAGCAGAACAGAAGTTCTGGTTCATTAATACAGGAGAGAGAAGCAGAGGAGTGTCAGTGACGTGGAGCAACAACAGTAAATACACCCCTGAGTTATGGGAAAACAACTCAGATGCGGAGAGGCATCTGCAGGACCTTTGAACGAAGATAAAAGAACCAGAGAGTCTTCACCAAAGAGCTGGACAAGATGAAGAGAACAGAAAAGACTGTCTGAATGTGAATGACCACAAGTATGGGAAGTGTGTTAAATATAATAAAATGGGCCAATAAAATAACTTCAGAAATGGAGGATCCCAGTATATACACGACCCAATTAGGAAAACAGAGAGAAATGAGACTCAGACACAGGAAAAATAAGGAAACGCTACAAAAAACGTCAGACCCATAGACGTGGATAATCCGGAAGGTGAACAGAGAAGAGAGGAGTGATGCTTTTCAAAAAACCACAGCTAAGAATTTTCCAAACTGAGAGTGAAATAAGCACAAATGTTCAGGAACTCAACTTTCAACTTGAGTTGAACACTCAACTTTCAAAGTGAAAATGACCTACACCATGACACGCCAGTGTTAAATCATAAAAAAAATCAGAAAAAAAGAGAAGATGTAAAGTAGGACTGAATGAAAGAGGATTTGCAAAGTGTCCAAGTTAGGCTTTCCTCTGATTTTCCCCAGTCACCCTCCAGGAAAGGAGAGGAAGTGTTAGGGGGAAAAGGATGTCCTAAAGCTAATTCCATATAGTGCTCCCTAACAGAAGGAAGTGCTCATCATCCTAAAACAAAGACTTCCCGCCAAGAACACTCTCTGCTGCAAAATTATTCAATTTGAATGTGAATAAAGGCTTCCCAGACAGAGAAGCCAATGAGTTTGTCACCCTCAGGTCTGCCTGCCTCACCATAAAAACTGACCTGAGTTCATGTACTAGAAAGAAAAAATGACACAAACCCTGAGCAAAATGACATGAACAGGAATATTATGGGTCAACAATAAAGCATTGAAAGGAAGGAAGTAAAGGAGAGAGTAAGGGACAGTGAATATTAGCCCTGGACACCCATGGTTACTGTGATATCATGAGATTATTCTGCAGATAATCCATAAATTGCTTATTTTCTCCTGATCGAGTTGTATATGTTTTCCTCCATCTTTCTATTATTTTGTAAGTACCCAATTTCCTGTTTTAAACATTTCACTAAAGAAAAGACACACAGATTATGTTTTTTAACACTTCCCAGCATTCATACCAGTTCAAAATAATTTAGAATGGGCCTCCCCTGGTGGCTCAGCGGTTGAGTACTGGGCTGCAAAGCTACCCGCAGCCTCTGGAGCACCGGTTCGATCCCTGGCTGCCAGCGAGGGTCCCACTGGCGCGGAGACCTCTCCTGCCGCCCGCTGCTCCCCTCAGCAGTGTATTTCAGTCATTCTGCCTGTTCTGTTCCCCACTCTGTCTCTGGTGAATTCTCAGCCCTCCACGATTCTGACTGTACTCAGTGCTTGTATAAATAAATAAATAAATATTTTTAAAAAATTATTTAGGAAATGCAGAAAAAAAATATTTATAATACATGAAAAAACTCACGTTAAACTGTGTACATAAGACAAAGCACAGATTATCTCTGACTAACTGAGGACAGGATCATGACATAGTCCATGGACTGTGAGCCCTGCTGCTCCCGAACAGACAATCTGAGGAAGCGGCCCCCGTCACGTTGGGGTTGCTCTGCAGCTGAAGAGCCTCACCAGGGCCTGCTTTATGTCCTTGTTTCTGAGACTGTAGATGAAGGGGTTCAGCGTGGGGGTGACCACCGTGTACATCACCGAGGCGATTGCACTGTCCCTGGAGTCATGGGTAGCGGCGGAGCTGAGGTACACGCCGAGCGCCGTCCCGTAGAACAGGGAGACCACGGAGAGGTGAGACCCGCAGGTGGAGAAGGCTTTGTACCTGCCGCTCGCTGAGGAGATTTTCAAAACAGAGGACACAATCTTAGAGTAAGAGTAAAGGACGCCACTGAGAGGAATCATCCCCACAACCCCCGCTGCTAAATATATCACCAGCTCATTGAGGAAGGTGTCAGAACAGGCAAGCTGGATCACCTGGTCCAGGTCACAGAAGAATTGAGGGATTTGCACCTGTGAGCAAAAGGACAGTCGCAAAACCATTAAGCTGTGTGATAGAGCATGCAGAAGAGTTAATACCCAGGATGCAAGAAGCAGGAGGCCACAGAATTGGGGGTTCATGATGACCATATAGTGCAGGGGATGACAGATGGCCACAAACCGGTCGTAGGCCATGGCTGTCAGGAGGAAGGTGTCCACTGCTGCAAAGGATAAGGAGAAAAACACCTGGCTGAGACATCCCGCATAGGCTTATAGTGGGGTTGACAGTGGGATCCTGATCTGAGTGTTGGTTTTGCACCTGTTCCCACTATGTGACCACACGCTGTGACTTGATGCAGAGTGAGTGAGCTGGTCCCTCGTCTGGTTTTTCATTTTTGTGGAATCACTTCATTTGCTTTCCTTGGGCTTTAGGTTTTGATCTCTCTTTGACACAGATAAACTGGTCCTTGTTTTGCTCCTTGTCCAACAAGCAGTGTCCTCCCCGGAGAATATTCCATAAAATCCTGCTCGTGCCCCAACAGTCTGTCCCTTTCCTCCGTGTTGTTTATTCCTGAGACCATCATATCCCACATGCGCTATTTCCTTGTGCTCAACCCTCTCTGTCACAACATAACATCCACATGAGCAGGGACTGCAGCTAGTTTGCTCACTTTTGTGACTTCATCATATAGAAACTATGTCAAGGAATTGTAATCCATACAATAAATGGAATAGTGGGAAAAATAAAGCCTGGATACGTACACCGTGGTCAACATGAATGCATTAAGCACAATGGAGCAGAATCTAAGACTTTGGAAGAATAGTCATAACAAGAACTGAATCACATCCACTGGTTCTATAAAAAGTAAATTGGCAAAGACTTGAATATGAAAAGAGGAAATGACACTCTTTCCAAAGCAGTGGAAACTGCAGATCCAAAGCTCTCATTTCTCCCTAGAGAAACAACAATGGATTCCATAGGCTTGAGGAATAGATCGAGATTGTCCTTTGAATACAGAAGAATGTGATCCAGGAGATGGGAGGGTGGGGGCTGTTTTTAGGAACAAATTGGCTGCCCATCATCCCTTTGTCTCTCTTGTATGCAGAAGCTTTTCAGTGTATGTAGCACCACGTGTGGCTTCCTGCTTTTCATGTCACAAGGAAGTCATTGCCTATGCACATACCAGAGAGCGCCTAAATATGTGTTTTCCAGAGGAGACACCTGGATGGGCAGCAAGCACATGAGGGGGTGCTCAGGATCACTCACCAGGGAAATGCAAATCCGAACCAGAGGCTGTCACCTCACACCTGCTGACAGAACTCCAGGGAGATGAGCAAAGGTCAGCAGTGGGAGTGGGGTGCAGAGAGCCCTGGGGTGCTGTCAGGGGCTCATACACCGCTTCAGCCAGGTTGGGTAAGACAACAGAGGTGCTCAAAATAGCACAGTTAGACTCCCCTGTGATGTGTTCATACATGTACAAAGGCAATGAACACAGGACATTGAAAAGCTGTCTGCACCCCCTTGCTTATTGAGCAAAATACAGAATTAACCTGTAAGTCCATCATGGACAAATAAAAGACATAGTGTGTACATATGTAGATATAAAAAATATATGCACTGTATTATATGTGTATACGATTGCTCTTACTGTCCAAATGAATATACATGGATTATGTAAAACATGTAATGAGTAACACACACACAGGATATGGGTTGTTATAATACACATTCTACATAGTGAAATATCACATGATATCCAGTAAAGAGAAAGAAGGCACCACACAGGCACCCAAGACCATTCTGCTCCGTGATAGAAGTCGAGGAACTACAGATACTGCTATCACTTCTGGGTGCGGTCCTGGAACAGACTTGAATTGGTGACAGGGACCCGGGGTGGGACAGTTGTAAAAAGTTGTTTCAGGACACACATTGGAAGCTGGTGAATGAACAAGGTTCTGCACATCTACTGCATGTGACAGCAGCAGTGCTTTCCTGCAACCTTCCCAGTTGTGAAGAGATTATTTCTTCATCGTTTTGTCACAAAAATAAATACTAATTGTGTGTATTGAGGAGGTGTCAGCTAGTGCTGCAGTGGTCATCATATTGCAGTAGATTAATATATCCAATCAACATGTTTATCTCCAACTTTCACACTGTTTCATGTCAACTAATATCAATGAAAATACAACAGATCACATCACAAATGTGAAGAGACACAGTAATGAGGAAACACAGATGTGGCATGAGCACAATGTGTATGAGAGCTTAGTACTACTCAGACTGCAAGAACAGCCTGTGTTTAACATAGTGGGACACAAAGGATCGACTGAGGCCCACACACAAATTGAAAGCTTTCAAACATTTTGTACAATAATTTCTACATATGTGGGAGAATTAACTGCCAAGTATTTATTGTGAAAAACTCTCATTCTATTTCAATATTTGAAAGAAAACCAGATAAAAGCTCACTGCTTCACTGCTGCTTCACTGTCAGCACCATCTCTGTGTTGTTGAGTGCAGTGGACAGTATTAATCAAAAATTAAGTAAATTAATTAAAAATTGATGAGTCAGTCAAGCAAGAGAACAAGGGAACCTCTTGTGCCTGGGCCTGGTTTGATCTCTGTGACCTGAGGCAGAACCTCTCAGTTTGCATTTTCCCTGGATCTGTCCCAAGTGCCTGCTGGGCTCTGAGACTCACCTGGGTGGGGGCTGTGAGGGGGGCTTCTCCATGGAGCGTCTGAGTCCCTCCTGGACGCTTGAGGATGGATCTGGGCTGTGTCACAGACAGGATCTCAGGAGGGCGCCAAGGGCTGGTCCCTGGGCAGAGGTCGGGCTCCACAGACAGGAATCATGTCCTCTCCGGTCCCGGGTTGGACAGTCTGAGGGACCGAGGGAGACAGGGTATTTACCGCCCTCCACGCGGTCTCATTAGCCACACCTCACTCTCCTGCTCCAAGCTCTGAGCTCATGAGTTCCCTGTGGACACTGGATTTGGCAAAAGGAAAATTTGTTAATGATTCTCTGATCTCAAGAGACTAGATTAGATGTCAAGTGCATCCAGTTTTATTACTCCCCATCCTTCATGTTATAACCACCCAGCACCCTGTTCTAATTCCGTGTTCAAGTTTTCAAAATGTGCTGGGAATTGCATGGGGACTATAATCAAGATGAAAATGCAAACATTGTGCAAAAAAGGAAAAATGATGTAAAAAATAGATAAAATAAAAAAAATTTAAAAATCTGTGCTGAGGATCCCAACTTGACTCGGTGCCCTGGATCATGAAGGCACAAATGTGTTGGGGGCACAGACCCCCATCATATGTCCAGTAGTGCTGTTCCTCTCTCGTAAAGCTGAGAACCGAGTCCTCTGTATAAAACTACAGCAACCACACTCCTTGTTGTCATGGTACTTTTGCAAAAGCAAATAGGAATTTCTTTTTTGTTTTTACTCTGATGTGACTGCAGCAGCCTTATGTTTGAAACTCCAGAAGGAAACGCCTGTGATCCTAACCAGATAAATGTGTAGGTCCCAAGAGTGAAGATTTTGGCAACTGTCTCACTCACTCTGAAGCCCGTGCGCCTCCTCTGACCCCCGAGACTAAGCACGTGTCCTGCTTAGCAGCACAGGGAGCTGCTAACACGCCTCACTGCTGCCAGCGTGAGGTGCTGCCCACAACAGTCCACTCCTGACACCGGGCGTCCCATCCTCACAGGTCACCACGTCATCCGAGCAGCAGTTGACTGAACAATCTCTGAATCGTGCCCAGACTTCAGTGCCAAAGCAGGGTCCGAGAGAGCCCCGAGGAGGCAGGAGCAGGCGCCACAACGAACTCTAAGTGAGGGTCACCCATTGCTCTTCTAGCAGCCAGAGGAAGGACTTGTAGTTACTTTTGATGGACTCCTCTCAGTACTGAAAATCTTCTTTGGAAGACTAGAGTTTCCTTAACTTTCTTGTCCTCAGTGTCCTTAATTTTCCTATCCTGATGTCCATTTTGTTCCCACACAACACAATAGGGATGTTTTCACACCCTGGACTAGGTCTCTATGCGCGTTAGGCAGGTTCTGGGAAATAATTCAATGTTACATCAGAGAGTCTAATGGCTCACTGGGCTTGCACCAGTAGCCTCTCTCCATCTACCAGATGTGTCCTAACCAGCTGTGTACCTCACGTTGAACTTGGCACGACTCTGTGGTAGGGAACAGGAGAGGATGGACCTCAACACCCAGGTTCTTTGTGTATCTTTAATTGTCAGAATAACGCTGTGCAAATATGTCCTCCCTTTAGTGGGCCGTCCTTGTGCTCTAGTGCTGTGTTCTTGTGCTGCACAGAGCATTTTTGTTGATACAGTCCCAGTTATTCGTGTTCTCCTTTGTTTCCCTTGCTGCTGGGGATGATTCCACAAACACATCTGAAATTTATTTTGAAGAGTGTTTCACCCACGTTTTCTTCTATACGTGTTATCATTTTGGGTCTTACATCAAAGTCTTTTATTCATTTTGTTTTTTTAAAGATTCATTTATTTATGCATACAAGAGCTGGGGTATAGGTCAGACATGCGGGAGGGTGAGAGGATTTACCAGAGACAGAGTGGGGAACAGAACAGGCAGACTGACTGAACTGCACTGCTGAGGGGAGCAGCGGGGAGACAGGAGAGGTCTGCCGGGCCATGTGGGTAGCTCCCTGGCCAGCTGGGGGATCAAACTTGTGTTGACAGGCTGTGGACAGCTTCACAGTGTGGTGCTTAACCTCGCGCCACCTGGGAGGCCCCTTTTATTGATTTTGAATTGATTTTTGTGTGATTTGAGATGGAGTCATCTAGTTTCATTCTTTTGCATGTGTGTGCAGTTTTCCCAGTACCATTTACTGATGAGGCTCCTTGCTCCAGTATCTGTTCTTGGCTCCTAATGTGTAGATTTAACTATTCCTATAAGTCTGGGTAATTTCTGGGATCTTCCTTCTATCCCTTTGATCTCTGTGTCTGTTATTGTTACCAGACCATTTTCATGATCCAGTATTGTTTTAATTACTATAGCTTTATAGTGTAGTTTGAAGTCTGGTATTGTCATAATTTTTCCCCTTTTTGTCAGAGTTGCTTTGCTATCCAGGGTCTTTGTGGTTCCATATGAATGTCAGTAATGTATGTTTTATTCCATGAAGGTGCTGTTGATAATTTCGTGTGTTGCGTTGACTCTGTGTAGCGCTTTGTGGAGGATGTTCATTGTGGCCACCTTGATTCTTCCAGTCTATGAGCAAGAATAACTTTCCATTTCCTTGTGTCTTTTTCTATTTCTTTTAATAGAGTCTTAACAGTATTCTTCACACAGGCCGTTCACATCCTTTCTCAAGTTTCCTAACTGCATTTTTAACTTTTATTTATTTTGGTGTGATTGTAAATGGGATCATTTTCTTAATTTTTTTCCCTTTCTTACTCATTGTTCTTTTACAGGGAGGAGCTGGTTTTGTTTATGTTTATTTCCTGCCACTTTAACTGAACTGGTTTATTGCCTCAATTAGATCCAACAACCATGTATGCTGAAAACCCTAAAATATGGGCATAAGTGGAACTCATCCTAAAATAATAAACATTATTTCCAGGTATTTATTTCTCTAAACATCCATCTGAATATTCCTTTATTATATCCACACTATTAGACACCAGAAAACAGACTTAGGGCATCTTTTTTAAAAATAATGTAAGGCAGCAGTTGAAGCCTGCATAATGTTTTGTGCATTATGTATAAAGAGACCCATGCAGTATGTGTGCCTAATTTCTTATGAGTCCTGTAATTCCTTAATTTTACATTTAATTTTATAATGCAAAAAATCATTATACACTTTGAAATATAAGTTCATTTTAATACAAAACTATTTATTAAAGGAGACTCTCCCATTACATTCTTTCCGTTTCCTTTGAATTTAGCTTTTATTTATTGAACTGAAGTAACCTTGCATTATAACGTCATATAAATTTCAGGTATGCATGATTATTAGTCATCATGTGTATATGTGACATTAAGTTCACTGCCAAGAGTTTAACTTTGTCTTTCATTATAGCATTGCCCTCTGTTTCTGATTAATCACCTCCCTTTGCCCATCTTTCTGTTAGCCACTAAATGTTCTTATATAGTCCAAAAGTATAGTTTGTTTTATTGACATGATCTGTTTATTTGTTTTCTTTATCACGTATGATATGACATTTAACTTTGTGTGTTTGGCTTATATCAGTAAGGATAATTCTCTTGTGCAAATGGCACAATTTCATCTTTTTACCATGTAAATAGTATTCCATGATACACATCTACCACATCTTTTTTTCCATTTGTCGATCACTTGGATTGTTTCTACCTCTTGGCTGTTGTGAAACCACTGCCGTGAATGTGGGTGGCACACACCTCTGTAATGTGTGGTTTTTGTGTGTATTTTCCAGCTAAATACTCAGAAGTGAGACAATTGGATCATAGGGAATTTATAG